TAAATATTAGGAAGGCACCAATTCGTTCGCCATTCGCATGGTAATTCGATCTGAATTACCTACAAATGAGGTAATTCGCTCTCAAAATTTTGTATAGCCAATTACGTAATTCGGAAGGTAATTGTCAAGGCGAATGACGAATGACAGAGCGAATTACGGATCGTGGAAATATCGTATTAGTCTTTTCATGTTGATATTTTTAATGTTTATACCAATTTTCAATTTTTTACTGCAACCAATACAAGGTGCTCAATGATCTTGAAATGCGCTACTGGATCGCTGTGAAACTGGCATAAATATGTTGCCATGACAATCGAGGCTTCTGATATTTTTTAGATAATTTAAATTTGAAATGAGCTTATGTTGCTTAACCAATTGTTTAATTAATGTATGTACACACCACTTCTAGAGTAAAATATGAGTATCATGAGCATCTTGTAAAGTTTGGTACCAGCACCTCTTTCGGAAACAGAAAAAATTTTGGAAGGTGCCCCAATCCCTATCTCGGAAAAAATGTTTTTGGACCACTGTAATGTACATTAGGGCGGAGTAATCTAATTTCGAAAAAGTATAAGTAAATTTTACGTTCGTTTCTAAGCAAAAATGGTGAACAAACTATATACCGAAAATGACGTTTGACCCCTCCAATTTTTGAAAGAATAAATATATGTATTTTTTTCTGAACGAAATTAGTTTTTCATTTAAAAAAATGTGTGTTCTCTTTTATTTGTATTTAAAAAACGACTTCACAAAACTGAGAAACTAGAACATTTTTTTTGGTACAATTAAAAATAAATTTCGACTAAAAGAGTTACAATATACTGCTTTTCCTTCGAAAATTACGAGGGTCGAACGTAAGTTTTTGTATATATGTATGTAGTTTGTTCGCCATTTCTGCTTAGAGTTAATCGTAGAATTTGAATTTGCTATACACTTCTTTGAGTATTTTGCTCCGAACCAATTACTCCGCCTTAATGTACATACATACATATGTACTGCATATGTACGTATATTTCTTTTGTATAAATAAAACACATTTACATAATTTTTAGTTAATTCTTGTGGAAATCTCAAGACGCTGAATTAAGTGGTCAAATCAGCCGACTTATGCAGAGTTTTATCGAGTGCGTTCGGCGTTTGTTGGCATTGACGGTGCTGGTGGTGGTTAGTGCCAAGCAATTGGAGGTCGTAGGAACTACGGCCGGGAACGCAGTGGCCACTGCAGCGAATTCTATGGCGCGCATTTAGAGGGAATACAAATGCACATAATATACATACATATATAGGTAAGTACGTACGAACATATGCAAGTGTTATTTTAATCAACTATGTAGCGACCACTAACTGCTAACAGACTAGCGACTAGCTAACGATGCCCAAGTTTTGTCCAATTTATGCTTGGCTAAGCATTTGCTTAATTAATTTTTGGGCAAAACGCATTAGTTTTGAATTTTCGAGCTGTTTAACAATTTTTTGATAGTTGCTGCCTAAATTAAAATTTTGTCTGAACTTTTTTTTTATTTTTTGATACTTTTTTGAGGGTCAAAGAATGGTTAGAAAATAGTAAAACTCCCCCATTAAAGCGCTTGTAACAAATTAGACAAACTAGTAATTAGTTATTTAGTGGCAATAGAGTAGGGAAAGAAAGAAAATTGAATAAACAACTTAAAATAGCGGCTATAATGAAGTGGGTGTTGCTGTGAATTTACGAAGTAACAAACAGCGCATGAATCAAACGCACATAAGCGCACGCACACAAAATCAACCAACAAATAAAACGTATTTGAAGTAAAATATTTTAATAATGTATTCATTTACATTTTTGATATACTAAGTGCGGATGTCTGACAGAACGCCGAGCGCCGAGCGCTGAGCATTGGAAGTATGTAGGTATGTAGTTTGCATTTAATTAAAGCCAAATTTTGATATCATCTTTTTGACTTTAAGAATGTCTGTAGCGCCTAAAAAGTGCTGCTTACAGAAATGGTTTACCATTTTTTTGAGCGGCAACAACTCTTCTTATCAACGTTAAGTCATCAAAATATTGAGGGAAATACATACGTATGTATATTTGTGAAATCATTTTATGGCATACAAAAAATGTATGCTTTTTATATAAAATTAAAATGAATTTAAAAAAATGTTAATGAACAAGCAACCATCACCCGAGTGTGCATAATGCAAAATCACACCTCATGATTTTTATTGAAAGGTCACTCAAACAGACAGGAACTACAAAAGAGTGACTTTGGCTGTAAGATTTTATTAGCTGCAGTTAAGTGGCACTACACGCTGCTACTTAGAGCGTGAAGGGTAATTTTTCAACTTTTTAATATTATTTTTAATCTTTTTTTTTTGTAGTATAACAGAAAAAGAAAAAAAAAAATTGTTAACATTTCTTTGTCCGTTGCAGTCACACAAATCCAGCTTCAGCAAATATATATATACGCTTCTATTTTGCTGAATCATTGCTATTAAACATTTATATTTCAAATTTTGTTAAGCAAATAACAAAAGCTCCTTTAGCTAATGCTTAGCAATCTGCTATAAAATAAAGAAATGCAGAAAAAATCACAGTTTTGCTACACCTGCCTTGTTGTTCTATTACCAGATACTATTTATTTTATTATCGCATTTCTTTGTTGATTTTTTTTTGTTGGTTTATTTTTATGTGCACTTGGATATATTGGCGTCACTGGCGATATTGTTAAAGTTCGTGTTGGCGGCACATTTAATGCTTTTGTCGGTGCTTGCTGACTGTTTGAATACTATTAAACTGTTGTTTGTTGCTATGAATGATTGCGGAATTATTTGTTTATATGCAGCAAATATTTATTTATAAAAAGCGCAGCACAATTAAAGTTAAAATGGTAACAAAAATTTATGTAAAAACAAACATAGGTAAACAATGGTCATGACGGATGTCTTTTCCTTGCGTTACGACGCTGGCAAGTGACTGCTTTTAATTGATAAACGATTATGTATTACCTACCTATAATTGCTTTTATGGTTGAATGTGCATACGGGTATGTATGTATAGTATATGGTAACTAGAGGTTGGAATCTTAAATCGAAACTGTAATAAGAGGCATACATATAGCTTATTTGCCACAAGTTTTAATATGAAAAAAACTTGTTTGCTTTTATTTCTATTTTTTGCATGTTGGTCGGAAACAGTGACAGTTTGGTGCGGATTTTGGAGCGGTATGTTAACAGAATGCGCTACTGCGAAGCTAGCAGTAGATTTTTCTTTATTTTTTTAATTTCAAAAAGAAACCGCTATGTGGACCACTCTGTATAAAAATACTTTCACGCTGTTAGCTTCAAAATTTTAGTTAAAATTTGACTAACAGCCATCGGACAACAGGCCGTTTTAACAACACTGCCCATAAACGAATGAAATGAAATTGAATCGCTAACAACAGACATTTTGGCACTAATATGCCCCTTTATGTGCCTATTCAGCTAGTTGATCCTTTTTCAAAGTGTGCACATATGTTCCCATCAGCTGTGCGGTGTTCGTAATTTTTACTGTTTCTGCTGCTTCTAGCTGCTGACGAATTTTATTGCTGACAACAATTACCATACCATGTCAGCAGCAATTCAACTAGCTAACCAATTACTCATTCAGTCAGCCAGTCAGCTGCCAGCCAGAGTTATTCAACTGGTTATACAGACGCTTGATGTTTTCCTTACATTTCGCCCTGATCAGTATTGACTTAATTTAGACATTTGGCTTACAGCCACAAGCTAAATAGCCGAGTATAAAAGGCGCATAAATTGCATGTCTGCCATGCTGTAGTGTAACTCGTTTCGTCACTATATTATAGTATAATGCATATAAAGATACGATGTCTTTAGAATTCGCAATGGCTATGAAATGTCAATATATTCAACAACTTTTCGTTGCTATTGCGCTTGCTTTATGTTGTTGCTTTTTTACGTTTTTCTGCTTTGTTGTCGTTTGGTAACAGCTTTATTCTCGATTTCATTTCAATCAAATTTGTGTATAGAATAAGCTGTTATACCTTTATTATTTGTTTATGTTATTTGATACCTCTGCTCATATAATTTACTATTATTCAGCATAGTGAGGTGGTTTTCTTTTGATATTATGAGCAGCATGGATGTTAGTTAGCTTTATTCCGCTTCATTCTGCGCTAATTAGCTGTATCTATACTCGACTAGAGTCAACTTGTAAAAACTTTTAACTTTTTGAATTTCAGGTAAAACATTTTTTTAGATTTTGATAAAGTTTCTTATTCAACTTTATTCAGCTGCCGCTAAAATCGATTTGATCCAGCATATTTCATATTTTAAGCAAAAAAAATGTATGCTTAATGTTTAGACGCGACTGCTAACACCAGGCGCCTAAATGCATGCTATGTACTGCTGCATGTGCAAAAATTTCCTTCATTAAATTAATGAAATTTATGTACATGCACTTCTCAACTGCCATGTAATAAAACTTTCTTAAGTTTTAATTTGATGNAGCTTCATTCTGCGCTAATTAGCTGTATCTATACTCGACTAGAGTCAACTTGTAAAAACTTTTAACTTTTTGAATTTCAAGTAAACCATTTTTTTACATTTTGATAAAGTTTCTTATTCAACTTTATTCAGCTGCCGCTAAAATCGATTTGATCCAGCATATTTCATATTTTAAGCAAAAAAATTGATGCTTAATGTATTTTTTCTGAATTTTAAGAAAAATTTTGTTTTTGGGGTTATAGTTATTGCTTTAATCTTGATAAGGCTTAATACAGTTTCATTCAGTGGAAAGTGAATTTTTAGACAAAACAAATTTATGCTTATCGTATTTTTTCTCAATTTTAGTGTAATTTTTTGCCAATGATATTAATTCTTTGCTCCTTTAAGAAAATTTTCTTATACAATTTTTTGTTTGCTAGTAAATATTTACGCTTTTATTTTCATAACCTTTTGCATTCTTCTTTCATAGCTTAACTATTTTAAAACTGAATTGAAATTTTTGTACTTACTTTTTCTAACTCTAAAAGGTGAAACCGAAGTACTTGTATTGCTTGCACCATCTGAAATTTAAAAAAGTATAGTATTAATTTTAAAAACTTGCTTGTAATTTCCTGAAATATATTACAAAAGTAGTCAAAGCTATACATATCCAATGTTTTCTTTTCTTCAGCTGCATTAAAGTTCACCTTGACTGCAAAGCTTTGAGTCTAAATTATTTTTTATTTATGCAAATTTTTATATAGTTTATTTTTCTTTTTAAAGCAATTATTTTTTTACTAATTGCGGTTTGCTTATTTCGCCGATGAAAGTTTGGACCATAAGCCTTAATATGGACGGCGATAAATAAAGTTTAACGCATCATTTAAACGCACCTTAATTAGTTACTGGCTTGGTCAAAAAACGAAAAACTTAAAGCACAAACTTGCCTTTGCCAGTGACACGCATACACACAAAAGTTTCAAGATAAAATTTAAAAAGCGCTTTCAATCCAAGTGCTGCCGCCGTGGGTAGCGTGGTCGCCTTGATCTTGCATGCATATTATTATTGTTGTTGTTGCTGAGGCTTATACTTATAATTTCCATGTTGGCAGTTCGGAGCTTTTTATAAAGAAATCAGACGTTTTCAAAATGCTTTCGCAGTTTTTCCTTCCTTGTATTTTTTTTTTAGACTTCGCCAGCCATGCACTGTGCCAGTTCATTTTTGTATATTCAGACTTCATTTCATCTTTCGTTTGTTGTTGTTGCTTTTTGGCTGCTTTGTTCACATTTAAGCTTGAAGTTTTAGTCACTTTTAATCGCATTAAAAACGATTTGGAATTTCAGGCTAATGATGATGAGCAATACATATGAATGCGCAGAAAAAGAGTTGAAATAAAAAAGCGCGGCAAAAAATAAGCAAGCGCAAAATGCTTGCAAACTTTCCACAACCTTAATCGCAGCAGGCGGCAACAGTGTCAGTGAGGTGAGTTAATAAACAAAAAAAAAAGAAGCTGCATTTAAAACATCGCTTGCGCCCCCTCCCCACTTTCAGACACCTCATCCGCTAAAATGGGAGGCAATAAAAAATTGCACTGTCAAAATTCACTGCCTACAACACTTAGCCATGCCACGCCACGCAAGTAATGCGCGAACGTTGAAAAAATAAATCCTGCGCTTGGCTGGATGCCTCGTTACAGCCTCACCTAATTAAACTGTCAACTTGACATTTGACATTTTTACGATGCTTTGCAGCGAGTAAAAAAGCAACAAGAGCAACAACAACAACAACAAAAAATAAACACATGAAGCCACAAAGCGGAAACTTGAAAACTTGGCTATTAAAAAGTTTCACTCCTTACTTAAAGACGGACTGACAGAGAACACAAGTCTACCAAGCAACACGACAATAAGCGAAAAAATCAATTGGCAACAAAAACAGCAACAACAGTGTCTACTTACAACAAGGCTTGGCAGCATATGTACATACATACATACATATGTATATTGACAAGTTCAACTGCAACATATTGCAATTTTCTCGCCATACAAACCATAACAACATAATCACGGTACATTGCTACAGGCTGCACCCCACTACACTGCGCTGCACCGTGCCAGGCCGCGTCCGCTTTGTTATGGCAAACTAGCGCTAACTGACTATGTCCAAAACAGCTAGCAACAAGTACAAAAACAACAAGTGCATTTAATGCCAATGGAGCAAATATCCAATGAAAATAAAATCGCTTTTATGGCCTAGCGTTACCGCTGCCGCTGCCACAGCCGCTGCCGCCGCCACCGCCACCGCATTCAGGCCGTAGTTAGCAGTTGCACCGCTAGTAGAGTACTTAAAAATTCAAACGTTAAGTATGTGTTACTAAATGCACATTTAAATGTTTATTCAACATATTGCGCGCGCGCACTCGTACAGGTCCATGTGTAAATGCTGGCCCAGCCGCACACTCCAACTGGGCGGACGAGAGCGATCCACGTCATTGCATGGTGTATCCGTTTAGTGAGCGTTGCAATGAAAGCGAAGCGCAATTCATAGTAGCGCATGGCAGTATGGCTTGGAAGCGAGGCGAAATGATTTATGGCGCAAGTACGCAGGCGCACTGTCAAACTGACAGTTGGAACAAAACACTACAACGCCATAAAATGACGCGACGCGCCACTGTTATCATCGTCGCGTAAGCAATAGTGGAACGATGCAATGTTATTGGTACTTTTATGCATTGGTACCGACTGTTGCTCGTGGGCTCATAAGCCCTCAGTACGAATTGAATTACATAGGAGCAGAATTTTGCAAACAAAACAAAAAAAAACATTTTGGGTTAAGGGTGCATAAGCGGCATGGACTGCGGTAGTGATAAAAATGAGTGCATTTGAAGCGTCGCCCGCAGCGCGACAAAATGCTAATAAAATGACGGCTTACAATAAGCGATCGTTTGTGAGTGAGCGAAATAGCATAGTCTGAGCTTAGTGATGCGCAAACTTACAACTCTGTAGTTTGTAGATACATATGTCAGTACTTATATATGTATGTAAGTACCTATTTGCATCAGAGGGTCCCTTGAGAAGTGCAATTTAGGCTTGTGGCATAACTCTTGTCAAAGGAAATGGAAGATTTCATGCTAGTTAAACTTAGTCGGAATCATCTTTTTTTAATGTTCAGCTTAAATATGCCTCATAACCAAAAACAGGTCATTCATTTTTTTTTTGATTACTCAGCCAAAATTGCTTCTGGAAATTTCCTTTTAATTCAGCTCATTTTTGACAATGGCATGTCTAAAAACGAACGAGTAAGCTTTTTTGCTTTTTTGATAAAAGATGTAAATCGATGTGTATGTGTGTACAGGAAATATTAGTGTTGTTCATTTAAATAGTTAAATTTGCCTTTAGCATATACGTACATTTTTATCCACTGCTTTATATAAACAAGCAAAAGAGAATCTTACGGTACGGTTTAATTATTTGTACAATGATTTTCGGTTGTTGTGTCCAAATGCATAACCCGAATCCAAAAACTTTAACATTCACGTGTAACCAAAGGATTAAACCTTTATTTAAAGTAAATTTTTAAAATTTCCTACCACTAGCTTATTAATAAATTCGGTTGCACTATGCATTTTTTTGCAAATTTCGATGTGAGTTCTGCGCAGAAATACTGTGGATGGCGTAGCCGGAGTGATATGCACAAGAAATGTTGTATAGCTTTGACATACGGAAGCCCCTCTTCTCCAGCAACACAGAAAGGAGAATTCTACTTAGTAAGGGTTATAATCCCTAGGCGCGGCCGAAGGCATAATCCAGCGGTGGCGGACCTAACAAAGTGCGTGTTTTTAATGGCTTGGAAGAAGCTGTTATTGCATTAAGTGGATTAGGAACCAGTTCTTCAGGCGTAGCTACGAATAACGAATTACGAAAATTCGGGTTCTAGAATAAGGGAGCAAATTATATTATTTCGGAATTTATTTGTAAAAACCGCACCATTGCAGAATTTTTGTTTGGCTCAGCCCTATTCAGCTTAGTTTCAAAAAGAAAGGATAGGATTTCTGTAAAAGTTTCTGTAAATCGCGTATTTTATCTGTATTAAATTTTGATTCAGTTCAGTTTAGAAACCAAAACTTAATATTTATTTAAAGCATTATTCCGCAAAAACACAAGCCATTGTTTTAGTTAATAGAATGAATGCCTACATTTCTAATGTATGTAAATAAAATTGCATGCCAAGGATATTGCACACTCTAATGTGCAAGTTTTGTATGCAACACACAGCGCACGTTATAAGCGCTTGACTAATGATGATTCCAACACTATATAAAAGCACTTTAAGTGCGATTAAAGTGTCACTTTAAACCGAATGGCATTATTGGTATGCGCAATTTGCTTTCACCGCAATGCATTGCGCTGATTGGTAATTGCATCGTGACAATGAAATTAGCATAAATGCATTTGTGATATGCCCCAAGGGTTTCTCCCAGAGGTAATAATAATAGCTTGTAGTATGTGAAAAAATAATACGAGACATTTATTCAGCGCGTATTAGCTTATTCAGCAGATTCATTTAAGTTCAAATGTAAAATGAAAGTGCATTTTCTAGGTTATTCAGCGTTCTTTGCGCTTATTCAGCTCAATTCAGCGCTACTTTTGATTTAAAACCAACCGGTTTGTCTAATATTTAAATTTACTTTTATTCAGCGCAATTCAGCTGAACTTTTTAATGCATTTTTCATGCCTGAAATGATTTAAAAGACTTAAATTTGGTATTTGCCTCGGCAAGGCCCCACGATCCGGAGTGGAGTGGAGTGCTGAACAACTTTTTTCTCCGCCGTTTTTGTGTCAGTTAGCGCGAAAATGTCGTATGGCTCATTTAAATGCTACGCGCCATATTCGCTTACACCCAGTGTGTCAGCAAAGAGTCGTTGGAAGTATTTTTTTTTTCTTAGTGCCTCAAATCACATATTGAGCTTGTTGGAAACTTATACAGATACATAAATATACAATGAAAATACAAAGAAGCATGCAGCTTAAAACTGTGGCATGCCACTTAAGCAGCTCGTGGTATTAAAAGATGCCAAATGCAGCAGAAGCTGTGGTGTAGTGAATTTTTTACGATTAAATTTTACTATAGTCGGCGTGACGAGCCTGTTGCTGTCATTCGATGCTGGTGGTGAAGCTGCTGGTGAGCGTTGGCGCGCTGTGGCATATTGGCATGTTGCTGGGATTTTACATGCATTAATAAAATAAAAATGCTCAAAATTGTACAGTGCAAATGTTTATTGTTGGAGTTGTAGTGATTACTGTAGATTTTGGTGTTGTTGCTGTTGTTGTTGTTGCAACATTGACAGCCTTCAGCGCGCTGACATATGCCGAGCAACAAGTTAACCGCGCACACTCAACCAGCATCATCAGCCAGCTAGGCCACCACCACCACCACCACCACCACCACCACCTCAGCATGCATAGCCACCACTGAGCTCAGCTGTGCTCAGCAGTCAAGCGCTCGACAATAAAATAAGTTAACAACTCAGTTATTGAAGGAATGACTGTTTTTAACATCTTTTTTCCCATGCGCGCATTTTATTTCGAAAAAGTTTATTGCTACTTTTTATTTATTTATTTTATTTTTTGCCACTGCAACCGAGCGCGCATGTGGGCTGCGCGGGCATATAGAGAACTAAGTTCCAGCCTCCAGCCGACACAGTCGTGCATTTGTATCTAGATACATGTGGACTGGTTGCATTGTTTGTGGTCAGCAATGCCACTTCACTATAAGCTATCAAACTGATTTCGCAAAGTGTGTGTGTGTATGGACGTCTGCTGCTTTACCCCACCCTGTCTGAGACGGGCTTGCTCGCCGCTTTGTATTTGTTTATGTATGGCACGGCTTTGACATGCCGGATCACAGCCACTTGAGATTAAGAATGATAATTTTGTGTCGCTTTGTATACTTATACATATCCATACATACAAGTATGTATGTATTTAGGTTTCGCAGTAGTGTAAATTTTTATTTAAAAGCGAATGTAGTAAAAATATACAGAAAGAAGAAAAAAGTAGGTACATGGCAAATTTGCAACAACGACATTGAACTTGCTGGACGACAAGTGCGCATGCGCTGGGCAGTAGCTTAGGCTGATGTTGCTGTGTTGCTGTGTTGCTGTTGCTGACGTTATTGCCTTAGTTGGCGCTGCCTGCGGTAAATTGTGACAAATTTATTTAAACAGCAAATAAAAATGTTAACGAGCTACAGTCACAGCAGCAGCGGCGACAACTGCCGCTCATCTAATTGAATTGAATTGAAAAAATTATACGTTCACATATACAAATATACATATGTATGTACATGCATAAAGTACACACAGTATGCAATGGTCGTTATGTGCGTCTTGCTTTAAATGTTTGTTTGTTTACTTGCTTGTTGTAGAAAACTGTTTTTATTGTATGCATTTTTTTTAATAGCTTTTATTTGGTATTTTAAATTTTGCATTTTATTTTGAGGTCAAGGTGAACTTGTTGTGCCGCTATTACGGTTGTATGCAACATGCATTTATTCTACAACTCGAATATGTTGCAAGCATATTTTATTAACCTATTTATGGACCGTTGTTTACTAAGCGACAGACGCTTGTGTAATAAAAGTGTGCAGGTTTGTGTTACTGTGGGACTTACCAGTGAGTCGACTTCGGGATCCGCTGTGTAGTAGGGTTTCTGTGATCGTATCTGCAATGAGACAAAAATACATAAGAATTTAAATAATTTTCCAAGTTTGCAACAAAAAAAAAATATTTTTCTTAATTACTGAATTTTATTACTTTATATAACAGATACTTAAATACTTCTTTGAAAATGTCCTAAACGCTTTGTTTTAATGCAAATGTTTGCGAGACATTTCTCACCACCATTACAAAAGAGCCAAAAACTTAAATACGATTCAGCGTCTTAAAAAGTTCGTTTTTCTTTTTATTTCAAAATATCCCGTAGTAAAATTTTAAACTGAGCTTTAAATATGTTACAATAAATATTCAGCACAATTTAGCGCTCGAGAAGTGCAATTCAGCCCACTAGTTTTTATGAAACATCACTAGAACATGTACTTAACGCAATTAAGCCCTTTTAAATATACATATCTGGGCAGAATTCAGCGGCTTCATTAAACGAAATTCGCTTTCAAAAGTTTAATGGCTTTAGAATTCAAAACCAACAACTCAGTCGTTTAGTTGCCTTTATTGGCAAGGTCCAAATAGTATCTATCACTATTCAGCTCTATTCAGCAATGGTATTTAATAGTTCTACCAACTATCTTTTTCTAAACTATAATCGAAGAATACGCACTAATATCGTTTACGCTTAGTAGTGCTTATACAGTGCACGTAAAATTCAAATATGTCATCAAAACTATGGGAACTGAAATACTTTTCGGATCAGCCCTCCATATTGCACGAATTGAGCTCCAGGTAAAATTTTTAAGATGCTCAGCAGTTTTCAAACTGTCAACACGCAATTCAGCTTATAAAACTTATAGCTGAATAAGCAGCTGATAAGCCTGAAAAGTCGTAAGCACCTGAAAAACTTAGATTAGATCTTCACACTAAGCCTTTTTCGGGGTTATGGCTTCCAGCGCTCACGCCGTTATATAAAACTAATAGCTGAATACATAAAGTGCTGAAAGCCTGAAAAACTTAGTGCGAAGTTCTATTCTAACTTCTAGCACACACGCTTACAAAATCAACAGCTCTAGACAATTTGAAAAACATATGTTGCTTTGCCCTTTCATATGTTGCACAGGCTCAACTCTCAACTATATAGGTGGCATTTTATCAATTTATTGCTTTGATGATTTTTATCTATGTATACCTATTTTATGCTCTGCACGTTTGTATGCCCGGTTTGTTTATGTTTTGACTTGTAAGCGCATTCGCGCCACCACACTTGGTAATAAAAATTAATATTACCGAAAACTAGCAATAAACTGACGCATTGCAAAATGTTCAGTGCTACATAGTACTTGTACAAGAAATGTGCATTTGCTGGTGTGTCTACACTCAGAGCCGCCTGCGTCTAGGCTATCTACCGTCTGTGTGCATGCGGAGCAATTCGCATATTTATTGCAGCAAGTGTTACCACCAATTCAAATGCCAGCGCAACAACACTCACTCCAGATATTCGTTGCTCACAAATGACGTTTTTCCCGCGCCAAAGGCGACGGCGACAGCCACGGCACGGCTTATCTCGTCAACGGTTCCAATTTCATTCCTCTATTATGTACACATCCATACATATGTATGTATGTAGATATACATATGTTTTGTTGTTATGTTTTTCTTGTTTTTGTTACTTAATTTTATCTATTTTTTATTTAGTATCGCATTTTTTATTTGGTTTTGTCTTTTTGGCAGTTGAACTGTGGGGGTTTCTATTGAAAATCACATGCATAGCTTGTCTAGAAGCGCATGCTTGAATAAATGTACATACATATGTGTTTGTAGTAGCATATGTATGTATGTATTTTCATCAGTAAGCCCATTAGTCATGCTTGCGGCATGACGAATCCACATTTTTGCGCACACCATTCTTGATTTTCATGCAAACAAAGGCACTCCAACACAACCTAAAACAGATGCATACACTTATTTGTACATTTATACACATTTACTTATAAACAATTTTCCATAGCCTTATTGTTATTTTGTTTATCTCCTGTTGTTTCACATACTCAAACATACACGTACCGTACAGGTAGTTCGTCTGCATCTGCTTACAAGCACACTAACAACATTGTTGCGGGCCGGCAGGTAAAGTGTCTGTATACATACAAACATACATATGTATGTACATATATTCATTGCATTGCAGGCTTCTTCGCTTTACTTCATATTTTAAATTTATTTTCTGATTGTTTTCGTTACTTTGTGCTCCCCGCTGCGCTTTAAAAACTTCTGCCATATTGTTATACATGCATACGCTTGGCCTATAATCTGCTTAAAATCTCTGCTACACCAAACCTTTCCGTCTCGTTGTGCCGTTTTTCCATTGAAACAATTTTATTTTTCTTATTGTTCTTTTCATTTACTTTTGTTTTGAAATTTGTTGTGCACTTTAGTAGGCCTTTACTGTGTTGTTGTGTTAGTGACATTGACAGTTGTCTGTCAAAATGCATTGGTATGTCATTAAGTCTTCAAAATCTTCTCTGATATTTATGTGTGTGCGTGGGCGGTCTGTACTGGCCTTTAAAGATTTTATTTTTGTATTCTTTGTTTCATTTTTGTGTTCTGTTTATTGGTTAAAATCGTCGGCTTGACCTTGTGGCAAATTGTTAGTAGATTGCAGTTACCAAAATGTCAAAGTGACAGCTGCCAAAAGACAGTGCACAAAAAGTCGTAAAGGTTAATTTCGAAACAAAGGTGGCGTGGAAGCGCACAACTAATATTCAACTAGTTTAAATAAATATAGTTATTTTAGAAGTGGTTTGGAAACTAAAGACAGTTTAACAATATCGACATATTTATCGATACATTTATCAAAATTTGGATGCATATATTGGAGTTTTTATCGACATATTTATCTATTTATCTGTATATTGTGTATGTACATACATATGCATTTATCGAGGTACTAAGCGATACCCATACGTCTGTTTATCGAAACTGTCATCGACATATACATACATACGTAGGTTTGTCAACAAAGCTGTCGGTATGGTCTTTTTCCCACACGTAGAAAAGTTTAGCGCAACTACGCCCAGAGCGGGTATAGTTTATAGAATTTTCGCACTATTATTTTTTTTAATCGACAATTCTTTACTTTTCTATAAATTTACATTTTTATTTAAAACTTAAAACTTTAATTCAATTTTTTTAAATTCCTTAAAAAAAATACACGTTCACCTAATTTTCAAACATCTTGCCGTAAAATGTGTTGTGAAACATGTTGCTTATGCGCCAGCAACATAAAACGCTAGGCCGCATTTGCCTCGCAAATTTTTATGTTGCATAGCAAGTAAAGTTGTCCAACAGGTTTATGAGTAGTCAAAACAACAAATATGACGCAAACAAGAAACTATACTACAGCAACAACAACAACAAGGACAACAACCGCAGCGCAAGAACAAAATACTTGCATGTAGGCACCGCAGCAGCCTTGCTAGGCAAACACACACAAAAATCAATATCGCACGCATTTTTCGAAGACAATAAGAGCAGGCAACAAGTTAAAAGTAAAAGCAGAAAAAAAAACCAAACCAAAATAATAAACAAAAGTTCAGCTTGAAAGCATTCGCGATCACAAGATGCCTCGCCCGGCTCGATATGACTGGTGCTTTTGTTGCTGTCGCCATATTTGATTGTTCATGCCGAAACGTCAGTGGCAAATGTCAGGCGTCGAATGGTTGAAAAGAGTTTACATATGTATGTATGTACCTATACATATTTAAGTATGTGAACACATTTATACATATTTATGTTTATGCGTTTGTGCAAGCAGTTTGCGCATAACGTCAAACGCCAACGAACGAATGCTTTTGGTGGCATAGAGTTAATTACTGTGTTTGGTGGTCGTCACAACAACAACGCTGCAGCGGCTCGAAACAAGGAAAAAAATATACATATATCTAACTACATACAAACACATGGAGTAAAGTAAGAAAATAATTGAAAAACGAAAATGGAGCGCCGACGAGTTGCTGCTGCCACCACGACCGCCCAATGTGCACATTCTGACACACAAAGCGACAAAAAAGCCAAAGAAAAATTGAGTTACTACCTACATACATATGTACATGTGTGCGTTAAAATAAAAATGGCTGACATGAGTGCATTTAAAATGTTGTTTGCAACTAATTACAACATGAGTGTGCAACATGAACAGCGGAGGGTTGGCGTAGCGTAGCGTGGCGTGGCATACCGCTGACAAGCTTTTACAAAAGTCGTAAGCAAAATTAATGATTTCACTGCCAAGAAATCAAGCTGCGCCTGCATGGCTGTCATGCAACATGTTGCTGCTACTTTTAAAACGCTATATAATTAGCGTTGCCGGCGCGTCCCGTATTTTGCACTAAATTTGAAATGTGCCGCCGGGACAAGACTTTTCCCGAATTTTCGACACTTTCATTATTCATTTCAACCTGTAAACTTCTACACAACATATTCGGGTTTTATGGCGGCTATTGTGAGTGGGTAAGAGAAATGTGTATAGCTAAAAATTACCGTTGATTTTTTAGTTTTTATTTTATGTGGAGGGTGTTGCGAATTTTCTTCCTGACTTTTATAAGGAAGAAAAAGCCCAACACCCTCAAAAAAAATTCTAAAAAATCAATGGTAATTTTTAGCGACTTGAAACTTGAATTTTATTGTACTAAAATTGAATGGGCTATAAAACCACATACCTGAAGTCTTTCTAGAAAATCTAACTAAAAAAAAACGAAATTTTGATTAACATTTTTTAATTACATAGTTAAATTAGCTTTTGTGAACTGTGTGTAAGCTTTGAAACTTTTATTTATGTGGTATCTGATATAAGTAGATCGACCCATATTTTAAATGAAAATTATTAGCTACAAATAAATAAAGATAAGTTGAGTTTTGAATTTTGCTGCTAGTATTTTGACCGCAACTGTATCTCTTACTTTCTTAATGTTTGGGCTTTTGCAGCATATCCTTTATTTCTCATTTGTTCCGTTAAATTTTTGTAAATCCCGTATTTTTCTGAACAAATTATTCGTTTGT